ACAGGAGGTTTTCCCCGTGGACCGACCCGTGACGAGATCCTATTCCCGGGCCCGCAACAGAACACCTTATGAATCTTCTTCTTTCTAAACTTTTGTATCAATCATCTCAAAACAAAGAAAGTTATGTATGCGTTTTGCAAAAGTTACAATGCCAATATAATTTAAATATCAAACACCAAACTACACAAATAGGACTAGTGAGAACTAATAAAGAACAGGCAATGGACCTTACCATCTTAGTGCCATCTTAATTGGTGTTGTGAGGCAGGATGTGAACACGTCAGCAGGAAATTCAGCACTCTGAGGAAGAGTCTCATGTGCTTCACAGGCTGCAAGAAGAATGCAATCCTTCGAAAGAGATCCAGAGGGACCAGAAGAATTACATTCTTTTTGGAGCTGACCAACCAAAGGGAAATAAAATTAAAAGATATGCAATAGTAATGCTTTTTTTATAGGATATGCAATAGAAATGCTGCAAGACCCCATTCTGCAAAGTAATGTTGCAAGACCCTATTCTGCACTATGTCAATGAAAACCACCCTTTGGTGAATGAAAGAAAGAGACAGTACTGCTAACCTCTATAAAAGCATTGACAATCATGCCAGCAGCAGAGCAATCAAAAACATATATGGAGGGTGTCTTCAGCCAGGAATCAAGATCACTTATTGGCAAAGGAATGTACTGTGTATAACTCTGCATGCAGTGCACCACGGTGAGAACCAGAAAAAGACAATACTCTAGCAAATGTAGTAGAAGAACAGAATGGAAAGATCTCTTTAATAGTTTCCTACCTTATTAAAGAGCCAAATTTCACCGTTAGCAGTTGGTTTTGGAACTCCATGCCCATTGTAATGAAAGAGCACTCTCTCAGATTTGGCATTTTTGCGACATGTGTTACAAAGTTTCTTTACTTCGTCCACAGTAGGATCAAGTTGAAGCTTATACCGAGCCTAACCACAACTCAAAGATTTTAAAATTATGAAAGCACTGGATGCAGTAAATTCTCAAACAAGCATAAAGCAGATACACTCTTACCCTGGGTTGCCATCTTTCATATTGAGAATGCAAAGCTTTTCCGATCGCTTCTAGTGCTTTAGGAGCTGCCATAGAAAATGGATCTGCCAAATAATAAAAAAGAAATTAGGAGAAGAAGAAGAGTTAGAAGTTAAAAGGTTATTACAAGTCATTGAATAATTTATTCATAGCAAATACAAGCTAAATTTTCTTTAAGCATACATAAAAGAAAGAAACATGTAGCCCATCCTCCACAAAATTAAACAAAGATTAACCAGTCATTTTTTAGAAATAGTAACCAAATTTCATTAGAAAAAAAATAAGTACATGAGTTGATGTACAAAACAGAGGAGAAGCCCCAAAAGCTTATACAGGAGGAAGCCTATCACTATACAAAACTTCCAAAAGAACACCAAATTTAGCTAAGCCACCTGCAATAGGATTTAGCTCCCTTGGAATCCAGATCAGGTTTGCATTAAAACAATCCAGTGAATCCCTAGCCTCTGCCAAATAATGACCCAATCTCCACGGACCACTCCCCTTGCCCCTTAGCCATTTTATGGTATTTGCTAAATTGCCTGGAATAGTTAAATTCTGAAAACACAAGTTTTTCACTATTCTGATTCCTGTGAGAGAAGCCATCACTTCGGCCTTAGTACAGTCAGCAAAACCTACTGGGCCACTGTACCCAGCAGATATTACCCCTTACATCCCTTATAATGCCACCTAAACTAGGATTGCCTGAAGCATTTACATCAAAGTTTAGAGTCGCCACTCCTTCACAGCATAATACTGGCTCTCTCAAGACAATTTGAGAAGAGTGTGGAGGAACAGACAAGTATGAGCACTTCTGCTAAGGTCATTAACTGAGACATGAGAACCTTTAAATAAATCCAAATTAACAGCCCAAAGATTTCAAAGATAATTAATATCAGAAATTAACTCTTCAAGGGAGATGGTCTTTTTACCAAAAAGGCGCTTATTTCTTTCCTCCCAAACTCCCTAAAGGTTAACAAGTCATCTATGTGAGCCTATGAATAACCACCAAAAAGATTCACCTAAACTGTCCAATTAATCTTCAGTCTATTGGATAAAATAGCTCGGAATATCAGATTTTTCAGATGGTTGATCACTAAATTGCTACCTCTATGACCAATCACGAGAAAAAATATCACTACCCATATAATCATAATTATTGGACATATTATTTATTTTTTCTGATCAAACTTCAGTCTTTTTGGAAATGATCCCTGCAGCTGTTTTCTGGGTTATTTGAGAAAATTATGAAAATACAAGAAAGCCTAGCAGCAATATTTAACCACCAAGTAAAAGAATATTTCCATAGATTATATTTTTCTTTTACCATTTAACAGCAAAAATCTTTAATCATTTCTATTTTAGAAGGTTTCAGGAGGGACTAATTTAGATCATTCCATAATCACTAGAGTAGAATGGTACCATTTATGAATTATGATGCCCCTGAGCTACCAAATGTGCATGCTATACATGCAGCTGTCTACAGAACCATCTTTTTGTAGACATTGTTATCTCATCCCCTTGTAGTTTTCCCATAACTATTTTTTGATTGGTAACAATTAATGTATTTTATATTAATCACTTGATATCAGAAGGCTCTGGGGTGGAAAATGTGTTGTCTATGCCAGTCAGAAGCTGAATTGATTCCACATCTGTTGTTACATTGCAAGGTGACTTGTGGAGCTTGGTGCTACTTCATCAGGTTATTCAAAAGATCATGTGCAATTCCTTGTGACCTTTCCAATGCTACTCTCCCCTCGCCAATGAAAGAGTATCAGAACAGAGGTGCAATTCTCGAGAGTCTATTACTTTTTGCTTTGTACTGGTCTTTATGTGGGGAAAATAGCAGTATGTTACATTGGAAGAGTGCACATAAGGAAGCCTCAATTGGAAAATTAGACAATGATGATTGGTGGTGAGCCATATTGAATGAATTTCATGGCAGGCCTTTTTTTTCTGAATAATTCTGTGGCAGCTCTTTTGATCACTTCCAAAATCACTTGAAGGATCTAATAGAGAAAAGGTGGGAGTCAGAAAAAAAAAACAAAACAAAACAAAAGATCTGTAGTCAGCACAGACCAAGAAAGGCACTTAGGGTCGGACTGACAAAGAATTCAAGATGATTAAACACCCAAACCTAAAAAAGGAAGCCCAAACAAGTCCATGTTCGCTCACTCACTGAAGCTCCAAGAACCCCCTATTTGCTAATGTTGTTCATTCATTTATCTTAATAAAATATCTTCTTAAAAGGCAATTAAAATTATAAAATTATTACTTTTTGTGTGAAAATTAAGATTTTAAGACCCTAACATGGACTTGTTTGGGCTTGCCTCGAGGGGCATGGCACAAAGGCAGCTCGTAGAACAGGAATCTAATATGTTTTACATCACATTAGCTACTTGAAGTAATGCAATTAAAGAAAAAAAGAGATCGTGGGCCTTACATACTTGAAAATGTTTTATATGTTTGATTTTATTTTTAAATTTTCATTTGAATACGCTTTACATGTTATGTTTATGTATTTTAATTTAAGATAATGGTTTTTTAAAACATTAATTTTAAAATTTAAGTTTATATATTTTATTAATATTATGTTTAATGTTTTCTGAATTTTTGGTATTTTTTATTTTTTTAGCATTTTTTTTTGTATTTTTGCACCTTGCTTCAAAAAGGCGTGCGCCTCGGGAACAAATTGGCCCTTGTGCCTTTTTTGCACCTTGCGCTTTTAAAACACTGGGTCCTGCAGGAGTAGAGGACTCCATCCATTCCGAGTTCATAGCTGTATTCCAGGGCTAGCTAGAGAACTGAATGTGAACAGTTTGATAATAGAGATGGATTCAAAGCTGGTAATGGGTTGGTTGACAGATCCAGAAACTGTAATCTGGACCTATAGGGAAGCTGTGCAAAGGTGTAAATGGTTAACCACTAACATGAACATAAGGATTCTGTGGCAAAAAAGATCAGCCAATGGGATAGCTGATTATTTAGCTAAGCAGTGGGTGCATAGGGAGCACTTGTTTTGGGAACAATTGCAATCTAACTTGTAACTGAGGCTGCATCTTGTGCCTCTCTTTGGGAAGCCTCATTGTAAAGTTACTTTTCTGCTTTATTACTAAAATTTCTTTACTTATGACTTATCAAAAAAAAAAAAAAAACGGAATAACTCAGTCCATGTGAAAGGAAACCTATACACTTAAGAAAATTATTCCTCAATCAACATAGCCATGCTAGCAAGGACATTCTTCAACAAAAATCCCCACCTATCAAATATCAGCCCACAGCCAACCAACATAACCATTGCACAGAACCCAACAACTACTTTAATGAGCTCTAGAGGTGGCTCCTTTACAACCCCTACCTCTCTGGTACTAACTCTCAGCCTTCCCCATCCAGACTTCCTTTTCTCATTGAGCAAGGAATCCTCCACCCTTCTATTCTGATAAAAGGTAAAAATTTACCATTTGCTTGTTTGCCACTTGCATTCACATCACTAGCTAATTGCCTAATTCCTTGCCTTCTGTTAGCTGTAAATTATTAAGTCTCTTTCTGATTCCATTTGTTCCTGCTAGTCCTGTTCCTACAGAAAATGAAAGCATTCATTTGCTCTAGTGCCTCTCCCACCACCACCACCCACCAAAATAAATGAATAAATAAATAACCCAGCTTCTTGCTAAGAGAAATTTGCCTGTCAATCACCTTAAAACATTCTTTCAGAAGCTCATCTCTTCTTCAGACCTTTGAGAAGTGGGTTGATTGAGTTATTGAGCCCTTAGTGGGCTCTATTTGCTTTACTTTTCTTTGTATTTATTATTATCTTATTGCTGCCAATTTAGGGGCATTATTGTCCTTTTACCATTATCTGTAACATGTTCATATAAGCAATAGAGTGGGGCTGGGGCACATGCACCCCAAGACAGTTACTCCGTCTTATTTGGTTCCCTTCTCTCTGCTTTTCTCTTCTTCTACTGATTCTGCTTGCTTAAATCTTCTTATTTCTGATCTGTTTTATATTATTTTTCTTGATCAAACAAGACAAGTCATACAATCCAAGTCTTTTTCATCCTGAGATTCTACCTCACTAGCCAATTTATTTTCTTCTCTGATTGAATATAGATGCCATATGCATGTATATAATAACGGAGCATATAGATTCCACATGCATGTATGCATGCATACGTCATTATTAAGTCTTTAGTAGCAAGACCAAAATACATCCTGTCAGACCTAGACCCACAATTGTAAGAACAGACCATATCAGATCTTTCTTGTCAAGTGTCAACTAAATGCATATAATAATGGCATATCCAGCCATAGGTTATTTTTAATCTTTCCAAGGGTGCAATAATTAGTCAGTCTAACCACTACCATGTGGGCCCTACAAAGTTATCCTAAATCTCCTGTTTTGGGTTTCTATTCTTCTTAGGCTTCTTTAAATGTGTGGTGAAGACACTTATCAGAATGACAAAGAGAGCTATGGAGGATGGTCTGTTGGAAAGTTATAAAGTCAGTTCTAAAGGAGCCAAAGTGCCTCTCCTTCAGTATGTTGATGATATCCTCCTTTTTCTCCAAGCAGATAAGAATCAAACAGTCCATCTTAGGGTGGTGCTTGCTTGGTTCGAAGTGGTCTTGGGTTTGAGGGTAAACTTTTTTTTGATAATTGAAAATTAATTTCATTAATCAAGCAGAATAAAACTTTACAAGCATCCCTTGGATAGGCACAAGATGCAGCCTCCCCTAACATTACAAGTGGTCAGAGAAAAAAGATTACAAAGCTGCTCAAAATAACCGATCCCTAGAAGACCCCTGTTTAGCATGATAATCAGGCAAAGCATATGCCTCCCTACCCACCCAACGGTATCTATATGATATGTGCCTTGTTAAACATTAACATTTTTAATGTGATCCCTATAACTCCAAACAACTGAATCTGGACTTGACAACCAGCCCACAATCACCTTACGATCCCCTTCAATTAATAAGTTCTCCACTCCTAGTTGACTAGCAATCTGAATTCCTTCTACTGCAGCCAACAACTCAACTATTGTAGAATCCCCTATCACCACTGGGC